GTTTTAGGTAGGCGTGGTTGACTCTTAACTTTTATAAAGAATATCTCTTTGGATTTGAGACTTTAGTCTTTGCAACTTTACAGATCTTCTTTATGCACCAAGAGCTTGTAACACTCCAAAGAGAAAGGAAAAATTGAAATCGCATCATATGACCCCTTTAATGTGCTGCTTACTGACACACACATATCGGAGATCGAGCAGCTCACACATCCAGGAGAAAAGAAACTTGTCAACGCTGCCCCACGACTTTTATTAATAACAGTTTAAATACTGAATCGCTACATTATATTTTCCAGCAACGAGAGGATGCAATAGATTTCTAATTATTGGGGGGACTAGCCCCCCTCAATATCTACGGTGCTTATCGCCCTGATCAGACATGAAAATATGTTGTGGCACCATCGTGCAGTCAGTAATGATACGACGTTAGCAAACTTTAGCTTCTTTTTTCTTTAGCGACTCCATTTCTTTGAGTAACATGACCGTAAATATGAACTCACGATTGAATGTAACATAAAACAAATGATTACTTTAAAAAAAATCTTTATTAATGCCAAAAATGCTTACATTTATGTGTCTTTTTGTTCGCTCGGGCAGCCATGTTGCCGCTGAAGCCGGTTTACGTTGAGATAATTCATACCCTTTCGTTTGAAGTGTGGTCCCGAAAAATCTTCGTTTGAAGGGCTATCTGGCCCTTCCCCTTACCCCTACCCCTCCAACCAAAAGAGAATCGAGACACCCCTACCCCTTCACGTGAACGCACGAAACGGAGGGGTAGGGGAAAGGGGAAGGGCTAAGGGGTAGAAATGGGATTGGGCCTTAATCTCAGCTGTATCCCCCCAAACCCCTGTAAACCGACTAGGGCCTTAATGGCCAGTAAGTCTTGTGGTAACTGTGGGTCTTTTTGCGGATGTTTTGTCAGATTTATTCCTTTTTGCTTTAGCATTTATATATAATTTGAAAAGTGTTAATACATCTAGGCATTTCTCCAGGGGCCCAAAACGACATATATTAATAATAATAATGATAATAATAAAAACAACAACTTTAAGATTCACATTTATCCAGTGCATTGGAGCAGTGGATGTACAGAAACTGTGTTGTGTGTTAGTTTGCCATCTGTTAGTTGGAGATGAGACTTACAGAAAGGACTGAATTGCAGTTGCTTTATTAGTGAATAAGATCACATGAATAGATGATCATATATTCAGTAAAAACATTAGCATAAAAAGCTAAATATATTTATTTTTATTATGATGGTATCTTGTTATATAAATAGCAATATTACACATGAAGACTTTTATGACTTTTGGGAACATTTAAAATGCCGCAGAACTTCCACACAATAAGGACTATAGACAATAAATAGGAAATCGGATCAAAAACAAAATGATATAAAATAATAACAATGTTCATCCGCTGACCTGAACAGCTACATATATAATATTTTTTGGCATTTTCTGTAAAAATCACACTTTAAACTTAAGCTTATATTTCTGCATCTTTATGTACATGAGCTAATTCCAGTTCATATCCATCAGGAATTTTCTTATATTACAGCAATGAGAGCATTTTACACTGCCCTGCCAGTTGACTACTTTTCTTTCTGAAAATGTTTTATCTTTCTTATTTATTTTTTACATGAATCCATTTTTAATGGATGGGTTTCAATTAGTTCATTACCGTTTTCCAATTCATAGAGTTTAGATAAAGGGTCCAGATTGGAAATAAGTCTGATGTTTATATTGTAAGAAACTAAAAATTTGGAGCTCTTGATTTCAGTGTGATACCTACCTGTTATGATTAAGATTTCATAAAAAAAACACCAACTCCTCCCCTTTATCATATAATGTACAGTATGTACATGTCAGTTGTATGTTTATGCAAGAGTGCTTTATATATAAACAAAGTCC